TTTGGTGTACTACCGATTCGAAAAATTGGATCATACTTTGGCGTACTACCGAATCAAAAAATTGGATCATACTTTTATGTACTACCGATTCGAAAATTTTATTCTTACTTTTGCGTACTACCACATCGAAAAATTTCACGCTTTTGCGCATAATTCCATCACACGAATTTTTATTGATACCTAAATTAGGCAACACAAAAATGGTTATCGAGGAAGCTGAGCTTCGAGTCTCTGACTCATACATACCTTATATATCGGAAGTATTAATTTTTTATTTGTCTGCATACTCATTGTAAGAGGCGACAAAAACCCCCTTACCCAAAATGTATGGCTAGATATACTCCCAGCCAGAGTATTCTGGTCACGTTATTTTGAAATAACAATTATGCATATTCAATGAGAGCTAAAGAGCGGGTTTTTAATTCTTTTTTGTATGGAGTGGTAGGAACCTTCATTTTAGCCTTGAAATTTTGTTTATATTCTAGGAAATCAATTTCATTCATACTCTCGCGCTCTTTTTTCCCCCCTTTTCCTCTCTAGTTCGGAAAAAGATTATGTGTTAAAGGTTGGTTAACTATCAAAAGTGATAGCATTATTACTGTATGAGATCTCTTCTCCATTATCACTATATGAGACCTCTTCTTCATTATCATATACATGTATATCATAACAATAATCGTAATTAGATGTATCTATCATTGCATTTTCAATATCTCCTTGAAAGTATATACACAGTGGGTCTCGATTTAACGGACCTCGATTTAGCGGATTTAGGGGTTTAACGGATAAATTTTCAAAACCAAATTTTTCTATAATTATTTTATCTCGATTTAACGGATTTAACGGATTTTAATATATATTCGATTTAGCGGATATTTTTTAAAAATCCATATATGTCACTTATAATAAAATTCTCTCGATATTACGGATAATGATGATTCTTGCCTTTTTTGGATAGCCTAATTTTATAATAATAAGCGTATAATAAATAAGCGTAATGATGTATTATTAATATTAAATATTAACAACATTTTAATCGAACATATTGTTAACTATTTCTTGGCAATGGCACTTGTATATAATGTCATTTTTTTTTATTTCTTTAAATGCTGACGAATTTATTATGAAATGACAGAACAAGAAATTGTAAACATAGTGTTGGGGAAATCTGAAGTTGAAGATAATGAGGGTGTTGATAAGATAAGCGAGCCAATTGTAACAAATACAGAAGCTATAAATGGTTGAAAATGCGCTTAAATATATACAACAAAAATATTTAGAAGTTGATCCTCAAATAATTAAAAATATATAAATATATTGAAGTTGAAAAGAGAAAATTTCTTATAGAAGCACCCAAGAAGCAAAATAATGTTGCATTGATGAATTTATGGGTTGACAATGATATTATTATTATTATTATGTTATATTCTGTTTTTTATGTATATACAACAAAATAAAAAAATTTTTTTTGTACACATTTAATTTGTATCACATGATTTGATCATAAGTTTCGATTTAGCGGATCTCTCGATTTAACAGATAAATTTTCTGGAAAAAAATATCTGTTAAATCGAGATTCACTGTGTATTTCCCTGAATTATCTTTATTAAATAATTGTTTAGAAATTGTTCATTATGTATAAATCATTATAATCAAGTTGTTGCTACAGACAATTTTTATCAGAATCTTTTAAATTCAGATTTAAGTTCAGACATATGTTTAATTCAAAAAAACAAAAGGTTTTGACAAGATATACTGGAGACAGGTTCTATATAGTAATAGTAGTATTGTTAAAAAATAGGCGCTAATCAAAAGACAGTATACTGAAAGATAGTATAATTAATAACAGTTAACTTATGAACAAGCAACATATGGATCTTTGATAATATAATTAGAAATGTTGGTTTATTTTATTTTGCTCATTCATTCATCTATTAATTAACTAAAAGAAAATATGTAACTTCAAAAAAATATAATGGGGAAGCATAACATAGTTAATTGTAGTAGATAATGAATTGTATATAACATCATATATTGATTTTTTTCAAAAAAACAGATCTACCAATTAAACAATGGGATTGGATTATTGTTCAAAGCATTAATGGTGGTGGTAATAATAATATATCAATTACTATTATGGTTATTGTTACTTATTTATTATTATTATTATGGATTATTGTTAACGTGGTAAGTAATAATATATTATTAATAATATTTATTGTATAACATTGTATTAACAGGTTTATTATTATGTACGCGACCATCAAGGTAAGTAATAATATACATATAGTTTATTGTATACATATATAACATTATATTAACGGGTTTATTTATTATTGTGCACGCGACCATCAAGGTAAGTAATAATATATTCTAATAATATTATTAATAATAATTTATTGTATACATATATTACATTGTATTAACGGGTTTATTTATTATTATGCACGCGACCGTCAAGGTAAATATAATATATCACTAATAATTCTTATTGTATTAACGGGGTTTATTATTATGGTTTATTGTTACGCGTGGTAAGTAATAATATATTATTAATAATAATTCTTATTAAATATATATAACATTGTATTAATATTTCTTTTTTTTCACTATGATTGTTACGCACGTGATCATCAAAGCAGTAAGTAATAATATATTATTATTTAATAATTTTTATTATATATATAACATTGTATTAATATGTCTTTCTTCCAAAATGGATTCATAGGTTAAACAATGGGTTATTTTCATACAACAATTAAAGAAAAAAACTAGTTATTATTTTATTATCATCATCATCATTTATTGCTATGTATAAAATTTATTTTGTATTTAAAAAAATAAATAAAGTTTCTTTTGCCAACTGTATATTTATTATAAAAATAAAAATAAATTCTGTGTAAAAAAAATTATTTTCGTGTGTTAGAAATTTTTATAGAAAACCCCTAGAAAATTCTGATACTATATAAGGCGGAATCACCACACATCCATTTATGGTATAATCCCAGACTGTAATTTTATACAGACTGCCTTTTGCTAGAGAATCCCTATTTGGATAAAACATGAGTACAAATTTGGACAAAAGTTTATTTCAACTTAAAGTAAGAATGTATATAAGTAAGGAAGGAAATGTAGAAAAAAAAAAACCTATTGTTTTTAAAGAATAGATAATAATTGTATTAATAGCAGTATTTTTATTGTTTGTTACTTGTTTTTTTTAGTTCACGGCAAAGCAATTAGCTAGGCAAGCTAAAAAAGCGAGTAAAGATGAAGTTACTGAAAAAGCAAAATTAAAAAAGGTTTTTTTTATTTTAAAAAAGAAGTCATTGAATGCAATTCTTTTAAAATAAGATTTATTATTAAAAATAAATAAAGGCAATTCAACAAGGAAACATGGAAGGTGCAAGAATTTATGCTGCCGGTGCTATTCATAAAAAGAATGAATCAATAAATTTGTTAAGACTATCTTCTAGAATTGACGCAGTTTCAAGTCGAGTACAAACTGCTGTCACTATGCAAAAGGTAAAGTGTGAAACTTCAACAAAAAATCACCAAAGCCATTACATTCATTTATTTATAATTGTTTTTTTTTAAACAACAAATAATATAAATTTGTAGATTACGGGATCAATGGCAAGTGTTGTTAAAGGAATGGATAAGGCAATGGAATCTATGAATTTAGAAAAAGTATTTGATTAATCAGTTAAATCATTTATTTATAGTTGATTGCCAAAAAAAATCATATTAAAAAAATCATAAAATATGATAGATATCAATGGTAATGGATAAATTTGAATCACAATTTGAAGATTTAGATGTTCAATCGCAATACATGGAGGGATCAATGGGAAACTCAACCGCGGTGAGTACTCCACAAGAAGATGTTGATTTGTTAATGCAACAAGTGGCTGATGAACATGGATTAGAGTTAAGTCAACAACTAGGCGAGGCTGCTCCAATTAGCAGTATTCTTGATAAAAATAGTAATAGTAAGGAAAACGAAGAATTATCTGAACGTTTACGTGTGTAAACTATTCTTTTTTTTTATGGAGAGGGTGTATATGTATACATATTTCTGATAATTAATTAATTATTTTTTTTTTTAAAAAAACAAATTTAGGAATGCTAAGACAACTTTAATTTTCTTCTATTATATATGTAAATGTATTTTTATATTTATTTATAACAATAATAGCATTTTATTATATTCGTATTTGTATGAATCTATCTATACTTGAGAGTTCCCTATGATGAAAAGAATTGCCATAGACTAATTTGTTTCTGGAAATAAATTATGGTTTACACCTGCATCTTTTAAACTATTTAAAGTAAATCAATGACCTAAGGGCATCTTGGAACGCCTGTAGGAATTGACTTTTCTAGCAGCCATCTTTTTCAAGCACTTGGTGTAAAAAATTTGCGTGTCAAATTAAATGTCTTCTATCACTTCTATCCTCTATTAACAATGTTTGGTTTTATATATGGAGCATGCTACAACAAGACCAGACAAAAATGAACATATGATTAAATTAATGCCCACATTCAAGGACAAATGTATTATTAAATTTTTTTGCATTAGCCGTTTGATAAACACAGGAGCCTGTTGTAGATAAAAAAAAAAAATCTTTCGATAATTATATAAAGTAACAAAAATGCTTGCTTTTATTGGAATTTTCTTTGGCCTCTTACTTCATTATATATCCTACAAAACTACCTTATAACATAAACCAAAAAAGTGATGAAATAATTGACGCAATAAAGCTTAGACAAAAACAAAACAATTAGACTCGCTAGTACTACTCAGACAGATGATGCTGATAAGACAGATTTTCATTTAATATATGGTAACTGAAACTCATAATAATAAATTACTTGTAGAGGGACAAAGAGAGTTGCTGCTTCCGCTATAAAAAACTTTTACCAATGAAAAATAAATCATAGGAAGAAGTAGATGATGGTAATGATAATAAAAAATAGTATAGTATTTCTGCCAGAGTGACCAATGAATAGATAGATGATCCTCACATTGGTTTTTTATCTAATGTTTTTAAAATACAAATATAAATTATCATGTATCTTTCTATTAGCTGAATCAAAATAAAAAACATTAATCCTTTCCTTGTATGTGACATACCTTTGTCTCAATATATTGTATTATATCCATTATGATACATTTGATCTTATCATTATTCATAAAGGATTAATGATAAATGGATTGTATCACTCATGTGTTAATTATCTCTTAAAGAAAGGACAATACTAAAGTCATGCAAACAATTGTATTTTTAAAAACTAATTTCTTGTAAATTTAATATAGTGTGTCATATTAAATGTAATTATCATTTTAATAACTATACAGGGTTCTACGAACATCGTTAAATATAAAAAAAAAGGCTTTAAATGGCTCTTTGAAAAACAAAGAACCACAATGCGACTTTGGTGAAATCCACAACCACCCTATCTCGCTCACTCCGAATTTCCCATTGCATCATATACCTTGCAAAGTGGAGTCAAATTAACCTATTTTATGAAAAAATGATAATGTGAGTGAATGAACTCAAGTAATTTCAATATAAATTCATCCAAGGCCTTTGAGGAACATCAAAGGTTTCAGGCATCTTTTGTTGATCCGTTATAGTTTTTCGTGTTCGTTTCTTTGATAAATGTTGAAGGTAAATGTAAAAGAATGTATAGCCTCGTATCATACTTCAACAGTTTAGGATAGTTAATATCCAACAAAATTGAAATGAATTTATAGTATTTAAATTATACGTACCTATTCCCTAATATGGAAACCATCGGGATTGTTGATCTTTTTGAAGTATTAATTTTCTCTTAAGGAAAAGATAAGAAATAGTAATTAATATAATTAAGATCATGCAAAATGAAACCCTCAAGACCTCATTTTTATTCTCTTCCTTTAAATACAACAATGTGATATAAACCCAAAATAATTTTAGCATAAATTCATCAAAGGTCTTTGAGAAGTGTCGAAAATAAAAAACTATTAATTAATGTATAAGAAGAGCATATACTCAATGATCATAATTGAACCACAGAGTTTGAAACGAGGGTTTATTTAAATTACACATATCTATTCCCTCTAGAGAAAGGCTATTTTGAAATTATGTCAATCGATCTGTTTTATTATCTTTTAGCCAAAAGAATAGACGTTGATAGTATTAGCAACCCGAATACTTCTTTAGAATAAATTTCGTATCTACACACCCATCAGAAGTACTAATCGCGTTCGCGTTACAACGAATTCGTGTGATATAAATTTAAAAATCCCAAATTTCCAAAAAGCAAAGATAATTATCAATAATAGATTTGGGGTGTTGTGGATGTCTTTTGTGACGATTCACTATAATTTTCTTATTGAAGTGTTGCTATAACTATTAAATGCTATTCTCAGGAACTGACGGCCGTACGAAAAGAAAAACGGTGATCTGTCGGCCCAAACGGTCTAATTTAATTAGTTGTATTTTTTATATGTAATTAATTAATCATTCAAAATACAGAAATAATCAATAAAAAATAACATTACATGGAAAAAAAAAATGCTATTAAAGAACATTTAATCCCAAATTTCCAAATGATGAATGCGAACAACAATAATAGAATAGTTTAAATAAAATTCCAAAAATCTGTATAAATAAAGATGAAATTTTCTTTTTCTTACAATTAAAAATTTTCTTAAATTCTGCACGATAACAATCAAAAAACATGTATATATATATATATATATACTGTTGAACAAAAACGTGAACTATGTTTAAAGCGAAAATAACATGATCATCACAACGAATTTATCATCTTTTAACATACACATATAGACTCGATAAGTCGGCCATTTATCGAGTTTATAAAAACATTAACATTAATTGTGTTTTACAAGTTAGCCTAGTTTTATAACGGGTCAAAAAGATCGAAATATCTGTCCGAGTTTTTTTTTATATAACCAGTAAAAATACAGTCACTGGAAAAAAGTATCGCTTCACCTGATGATCGGCGAAAATAATTGAATAACTCCTGTGATATAAAAAGTCATTATTTTACTAATCAAGTCGATGTTGTGTAATAACAAAAAAATCTTTTTCATAATAAATTCTATAACATACTCAAGTTCCACAAGATTCAATTAATTATTGGTAATTTTATAATCTTTAAAAGACAAAAAAAA